ATTTTCATCTTCTGTTTCTTTGTTTCTTTTCTTTCCCCTTTTCCATTCAGTCTGGTTATCTGAATGGTCAGCATCTATCTCTGCGATTTGTGGCTTGTTCTTCAGCTCTGCCATCCTCTTGGCAAAATATTCCTGGATGGTTAAGGTACTGGTGGTGGTAGTTTCATTCTCTTCCACAGGAGTGGGGCTGGATTCATCCTCAAGAGTCTTCGTCTTCTGTCTTTTCCCAAAAATACAATCAAGATCTGTTTTACTCCGAGATGATAGGTCCTTCCCTTTTGTAAACTTCATGTAATGAACACGGTTTTTTGAAACTTTGGACTTTTCTTCAAGGCTAAAAGATTTCTTCTCTTTATTTTCTGAGGAGTCTCCTATTTCCTGGCCATGACAAGTGTTCAATTCAGCCAGAAGTTGGTTAAAATCATCTTGATGAGCAATCCAATTGTCTTCATTATTGATTGTAGCTCCAAGTCCCAGGTGGTTATTTTTTACTTGAACTTTAATATGATCTGTGGCTCCTTGTTCCTGAGCTCCTAAACCCTTTCCTTTAGACCACCCCATCTTCTCCAGCATTTTCTGACTGCTGTGGTTTCTACTTGATGTCCTTCTAGTAGTGGGCTTACATCTGTCGTCTGGACTCTCCGAGATGTCGATGCTGGCCGAACGTCGTCGGAAGCAGAAGTGGGCTATAGATCCAAGAAACACTGCGTGGAGTAATGATGATTCCAAGTTTGGTCAGAAAATGCTGGAGAAGATGGGGTGGTCTAAAGGAAAGGGTTTAGGAACTTACCACCTTTTAAATACAAGGCCCACCAACCAGGTCCTGGTTGACTCAAAATCAAGAGGCTTCCAACCCACAGGTCTTTGTTAGTTAAATCTGGCAAATTAAATCAGCTCACACTCGATTGTGAATGAAAAAATAAACAAAAAAACACAGCCAAACAGACCACAACTTATCTTCACCAAGATAAGAGAAACGACCTTCCACCTCTCCCAACTACATTCAATGCTATCATATACCATCTACAAAAAGTGGAGGCACCAGACACTCTTTTTCTGCACTGGAGTCCAAGTCACACCTACAGTTAAGTTGAACCTACCTAGATCTAGTGCCTCAGAAGAAAGGCCTGGAAATCTGCTTCCTGAAGGTCACAGACACTGAAAACCCTAAGAGCACAGTGCTACTCTGACACACACACGGCGTCATCATGAGTGAGGCTCAATTTGAAGGTGATGGCTAATTTGGGGCATCAAAATGCAAAAGACGTACAGCCAGATGCCATATTTCATTTTATTGTTTGTTGCTTTATTACCAGTCACAAATAATACATTTAAAAAAAACACACAAAAACAAACCCAAAAACCAACAAATAGGAGATTTTGGTAAACTTGCATAGAACAAGTGTGTCAGCTCTGTATTTCCAACATCACATGTACATTTTATCTCAGTCACATTTTGGCAATTCTCTCAATGGTTTAAGGCTTTCTAACAAGAGTTACTTACAAGAGGATGAAAAACAAAGCTGAAAACAACCCAAACTCCCTGTCATGGTGTTGACACCATAGAAACCACTGGTTTCTAAGGTTACAAGGTCTTTATAAGAGGATGACTGTCCATCTTTCTTCTAAGGAGCAATTGGTTGATTTGAACAGCCAACCTTTTGTCTGGCAGCCTGATGCTTTAAGCATTATGCTGCCAGAGTTTCTTTAATAGGTTACAATATAGTGTAAAGCTTTTAAATGCACTCAATCTCAAACCCACTACAGTAGAGTTCCATTCAAAACAACTTTTTACCAGGTTTCCGAGGCTATAAATATGTGAGGAAATGACCCTTCCTTCTCCCACAGAAAAAGACAGCTTTGGAAACCACTTAAAACTTGACGGTAATGAGTTTAAATTATTATTACCTTTTTTTTTTTTGTAAGTTGTGCTTGTGTAATCCACAGTGTGTTGTGCTCCTAACCAAAGGCCACGTTGTCTTCAGGAGGGTTGGACTCCACCAGTCTCTCTGCAGAAGAGAGATGGGTAAGTCTCCACTCTCTAAGAATTCCAGCCTCAGTCATCCAAGGCAGGGTCAGAAACTCCATCCCGGCAGCGACTTGACTTTCAAAGCTGGCACAGAGCCTAGAGAATGAATTTACTGAGGCTTCCCGCCTCCTTCCACAGTGTGTTTCAGAAAGTGAGCCCTGCCGTGCATTAATGAACTGTAATGTGAAGGTGCTCTGCATTTGCTTGTATGTCTGCCCCCCCCTCCGCCCTCGCCCCCCAGCCCAGAGCTGCTGCTGCTTCTGCTTCTCAGAAGTGAGCGACTCTGTCTGAGCAGCCGCACAGCTCCCTGGGCAGAGTTTTGATCAAAGCTGGGTGGCTTTTCAGCTCATTGTGTTCTTGTGGCGCTAAGCTGTCACTGCTCGTTTTCCTTTTTTGCGCGCTGGTTCAATTCAACAAACACTTTTTCCATGTCAATTGTGGGTAACTCCCTGTACTAAGTACAAGAGGAGGGGGGGGGGCGTGAAATAAAGATGAATAAGATGGACTCTGTGTCCTTGAAGGGGTCACAGGCAAGGGAGGGTGATAGACTTGGACATGACTAATAGCAATAAAAATCGGGCTGTGACAAGTACTTTTAAAAGGAGGTGTTGGGTACATTTCCAGAGGAGCTCTTTGAGGTTGGCACTGAAGGATAAATGCTAGAGAGAAGAGGTGGATGTCTAGTACAATTAACAAACATTTTAAAAAATCTGGAAGGGAGGGTTTGCACAATGTAGCCAGAGAATGAGGAACCAGGAATTTGGGATAGCCAAGAGTTTCCATTTCAATAAGGAACTTCAATAAGTTTCAAATTTAATAAGAGAAGGAGTAGAGATAAACACTCAAGTCGATGATTTGCAGGGAACTCATCTTATCTCACTTTATCTGACCTGCTTTGGGCATGTTCTCAGGCATCATGCTTGGACTGGGAAAAGTCGAACATGGGTGAAAGAGGAGGAAGGGCCTCAGCAAGGTGGGTTGACATAGTGACTCCAAGGAGAAGGCCGGGCACAGCAGAGATTAAGAATATGGCATAGACAGGGCAGACTTTCCAAGTGTTGTTTATAGGTCATTATGACAGCCAGCTCAACAGCACTTAAAAACAACAATATTAATTTCATAGTTGGCGATCCGAACCTACTCGGTGGAATGGGAAATAAATGCTTGTTGATCTACTTTTGTAAAGACCGTTGTTATCGTTAGGTACTGTAGAGTCAACATTGACTTGTAGTTAGTTTGTAGACAACAAATCGTAACTCTACCCAATCCTGTGCCCTCCACACAATCTCTGCTGTGCTTAAGCTCATTGTTAGAGTCATTGTGTCAAGCATCTCACGGAGGGTAAAAAGATTACAGTCAAGAGAAACCCAGTAGGACAGTTCAGCTCTACAATACGTGGTGTTCTCAATTACTTGAAACTGGTTCAATGGCGATGGGTTGGGTTTGGTAAATGACACTCATTCACTTCAATCTAGGGCACAGACACTGAATGCCTACTGTGTAAAAGACAGGGTGATATATGCTCTGCTAAAATTAAGAACCTCTCTCAAGAAGGAGATTCACGGAAAAGGTATGCATTGCAATGTGTGATCAGCTCTCTAGCAAAATTTTATAAAGTTGTTTAGAAAAAAAAAATATGTTCCAAGGGATAATAGAAAGAAAATTGTTAACCAATAAATGAAAGACAGGGAAAGTTACTGTTCCAGATATGCAGAATGGAATAAAGAAGCCAGGGAAGGAATCATAATAGAATCCAAGGTTTATGGACAAGTGATGCATTCAATGTTTCTAAAGTGGAGATTCAATGTAGACCTAATAATGGAATCTGAATTTGAAGAGATGGTGTTTGTCTGGGTAAATGAGTGGAGGGTAGGATATAAAGAAAGCTTAACTTATTGGGAAGAAACACTGGTGGCACAGAGGTCAATACAACAGGTTGTTAACCAAAAGGTTGGCAGTTCAAATCTACCAGCTGCTCCATGAAAGAAAGATGAGTAGTCTCCTTCTAGAAAGAAACCAAACAGAGGCTTGTTATGAGTTTGACTCAACGTGACAGCAGAGGGTTTAGGAATTTTTAGCTTAACTTAGTGAAAGTAAATAGAATATTTTGATAAAAGATAAGTGGAATATTGACTATGGTTACTGTTACTGGTTTGGAAACAAAATCACAATCTAATTTTTCTTTTGAGCACATTAATTGTCAGTGGCCACTTTAATGGGTCCATAGTCCGTAATGATCAATAATATAAAATTCCACTCACTTCAATTTAGTGCTATGGAGTCAGAACCAGTTCATCGCTGATCTTCTAGTAAGTTTTCAGAAACTATAAATCACAGGAGGGAAGATTGCTCATCTTTCTCCTGAGGATCGTTTGGTGGATTTGAACCAAGTGCCCTTTGCATGACAGTGCAATTGCCTACTCATAAGACCACCAGAGCTCTGGGATGTAAAATGAGTAAAATATGTAGTTGTATTGTTGTTGGTTTCACTTGCTTTTGAATCGATGCCAATTCATGGTCATCAGGCTTTTCTTTCAAGACACCACCAAGTGGGTTTGAATCACCAACTTTATGATTAGTAGTCAAGTCCTTAACTGTTTGAGTGAGCAGGGACCGACTCTTCTACAGATATTACTTCTTATAAATTACTTCTTCTAAGATTAAATTATTTTCTAATTTATGAGACTACATGAATGGAATACATTTGTAGCAAAATGAAATTTTCCCTCTCATGGAGCAACACAGCTCAAAGGCATCAATTATCATTCTTTCATCCCTAGTCATTGTCCAGCTCTCTAATTCATAGCAAGTAATTGCAAAGACTATGGCCTGTATCAGGTGACATCATTGCTCTTCAGTACTCTGGAGATATCATTGACAGCAGACTTTTCCAGTGCAATTCGTCTTTTGATTTCCTGGCTGCTGGTACCAAGAGTGTTGATTGTGGAGCCAAACAAACTAAAGCTGTTAACAGTCTCAATCTCTTCACTGTCTATCATGGTGCTGTCAAGTGGCCCAGTGGTGAGTATCTTTGTTTTCTTGATGTTGACCTTCAATCCATATTGAAGGCTACAGTTCTTGACCTTCTGCAGCAAGCACTTCAGTTCCTCTTCAGTTTCAGCAAGTTTGTTTGGAAAATAGCCAGAGGAAATGAGAACTGAAGTGCAAATGGAAATTTGTACACCAATGTTCACAGCAGTGTATTCACCATTGCAAGAACATGGAAACAGCCCAAATGTCCAACCATAATAAAACAGATTGAGAAATTATGATCCATCCATATGATGAAATACTATGCAGCATGCAGGAGTAATTATTTTGAAATTTTTTACCTAAATTGGGAGGGACTGGAGAGCATTATGCTAAGTGAATTAAGTCAGCTGCATAAGGACAAATACTGTATATAAGACCATTATTGTAGAAATAGAAAGATAATGAGTAAAACATGTATGAGGACCTAAGGTGTAAAGGCAAGCAGAAGAGTGAGGATGGGTGGGTGCATGGTGGGGATTAATCATAGGCTTACACAATTTGATGGGTGGAGAAGGGTGGGTAAAGGAAATGGGAGAGATCCAGTGTAAAAAACAAGGTAAATGAACTTCTAAAGTAAGTTCGTATAAAATAAAAATTTTATTTAAAAAAAACCCACCCCAAATTCACTGTAAGATCCGCTATGAGTTTGTTCCAACTCCTTGGCAGTGCACTGAGTTTGGATTCTACCAATCAGTGAGAACAAACCTTTGGAATGAAGATTGTCTTTGTTATATTAATGAGTCCCTATCAGCAAAGAGTGTGTTAAAAACCTTACCATTTTTAAGATCTACAAAGAGCACGTAGACACAAAACTCCAGAAGTAACAATTGGGAAAAGATTGACACATTGTGACAATCATCAAGGAACAAAGGAAGATTGTGGCTGTGATGGCTAAGGTTGGGTGTCAGCTTGGCCACCTACAGTTTCCCTGGATTGACAGTTGTAACGTGGTCATTCCCTTGATGAGCTTTGATGTAGGGTAATCATTCCATTGATGGAGTTTGCTATTATTCAGTGAGAGTGAGCTTCATCGGCATCAGATATCTGGTGCCTCACCTCTTTGTATCCTGTACCACCAGCCCGCATTTAGAAGACTACAAACTTTGGAGTCATTAGCCTCAGCGGATTCATTGGTTTTGCTTCTTTATAGAACCTAGCTTAAAACAGATAACAGAAAGTGATTTCCTGCCCCCCAGAGATGAACAAGAAGGAACCTTCCTGTAGAATTAGTGCTCTGAGATGGAATTCAGTCTTCTAAACAGGAGCCCTGGTGGCACAGTGGTTATGTGCTTGGCTGCTAGGAGAATGGTCATCTATTAAACACACTATTAAACACACCAACTCTACTGCAGGAGAAAGATGTAGCAGTTTGCATCCATAAAGATCTATATCTTTAAAAGCCCTATAAGCCACAGTGAGTCATTGCAACTCAATAGTAGTCGGTCTAAGGAGTCCTTGTGACTTAGAGTAGCACCATTCAGTAGAATGTTCTTTGATGATGCAAATATTCTATACTGTGCTGTCTAGTGTGACATCTGTTAGCCAGATGTGAAGGGAGCTCTGGTGGCAAAAGTAGTTCAGACCTCAATTAGTAGGTGAAATATTGGAGGTTCAAATCTACCCAGAGACACCTCTTTAGGAAGATGTGGACATCTGCTTTCTAAAGGTCACCGCTCTGGAAACACTCTGGACCACAGTTCACCTCTACACACAAGGGGTCCACCAGGGATCAGAATCACTTGACAGTGAATGACAACAAGGAATAAACAGGTGTCAAGCGCGTGGGACCTGCAAAGTCCTGAGGATTGCCATGATCCTTTTTATTGTTTTGACCATTTTGTGTGATAGACCAAGATATCAATTTTGGCAGGCTAAAAAGGCTAGGTTTTAGCCTTCATCAGGTCCCATGCCAGAGGGTCCTTGACTCATCAGCCTCTGTTTGTGGGTGTCAGTCAGGAACAAGGAAGAGGCGGAGGGCTGCTGCCTTTGGGGCTGTCTCTTATTTTCTCCATATTTGACAGCCCCCTTGATGTCCTGGCTGCAGATACGGAAATTCTCCCCTAGGACAGGTCTCGCTGAGTAAGGTGGCCTGCTCCCAACCATCACTGAGTTGGGATTAAAACACTTCTGACACAAATGGTTTCCAGGCAATTGAACGGATGCAGCCTCGTGGATGCTGAGGGCAGGCTAGTCTGTGGCAGGGCCGACAGCATGACATTCCTTGGGGGTAACTCTGACCACAAAGGAAAAACAGATTATTAATGAATAGAAATGTATAACCTTGAGTAATTACATAAACTATACCTGTATCTGCTCCTATTCCAGACGGCATAATAAGAAATTGACTAGATCTTAGAAAATGTAACCATTTTGTTAGCAGGCTATAACAAGGACCTTGTGTGTATGTGTGTGTTATAAATAAAAATTACTCATAAAAGAGCTGGGCAAGAGGAACACATTTGAAAGATTCCTACTCCAGTCAGACTCACTTTGCCCTTTAATCCCTTACATTGGCAGTCGAATCCCAAGCTCAAGTACTGGTGCTCAGAGACGCAATCAACAAACACAGCCCACGGCTCCTGAAATCACAGGGGGGAAAAATTGCTCATTCCTTGGAAATAGATTGCAATAAAGCAATAGCAACTGAACATTTAGTGAGAGAGAGAATCAGCCAAGAGGAACTCTGACTTGTTAACCAATAAGATACAAAATAAACACTAAACCCGATGCAATCAAATAAATTCCTACTCATTATCCTTTAGGGAATTCTGGTGGCCTAGTGGTAAGACGCTCTACCTCAAACTCAAAGGCACATGGTTCAAATCTATTGGCTACTCTGTGGGAGAAGGATAGGCAATTTCTTCCCATGGGATGTTCTGCCT